ACAGGTGAAGCGGGCCACAGGGGCCCTCAGCCAGGCTGCAGAGCCTCAGGGTTACCACAGAGGACAGGGGAGGCTCAGGGGACAGACTTGAGTTTGCCTACACAGGGTCTTGCCTTCCAGCTTTGTGCTGAGAATATGCTCATTCCTGAGGCCTTCTGCTCCTCTAGTCCAGCCACACCCAGATGTTCCTCCAATTGTCCTGGGCAGAGGCCTGGTTCAGCAGACCCAGGGCAGGGTCCTGGGCTCTGCTTCTACCAGGTGTGATTCCGCCTGCCACAACCACGTCTCTTCCAGCCCCCAGGGCACTCAGAAGAGGCTCTGGCAAACACTTGGGCTGAAATCTGGGTCACTCTGTGCAGGGGTCGGAAATCCATCAAACAGACATTTACTAAGTGCCTACAACGCAGGGTGCTAAGTGCAGCGCAGATGGGACCTGGTTCAAATCCCAGTTCTGCTTCTTTCCCGCTGTGTGACCTTGCCATCGTACTTCTCCAGAGCGAGTGTCTTCACCGCTCTGCAAAATATGGCAAAGTCAACGGCAGCTCTCATCAGCACAGGGAGGTACTGTGGTGATGGTGGTGGGGGGGAGGGGTGGATCCAATCACACACAGAAAACTTGAAGGTCTATAATCTAGGCAAGAGACAAAGACAAGCCGATAATATGTTGTTATGGGCAAAAGTTGAGAAGCATGCAGGGTGCTCGGAAGGACCTGAGACAGGCTCTAAGGAAGTTCAATGTCTAAGCCGGGCACAGTGGCACACGTCTGTAATCCCAGCACTTTGGGAGGCTGAGGTGGGCCGATTGCTTGAGGTCAGGAGTTTGACACCATCCTGGCCAACATGGCAAAACCCCATCTCACCTAAAAATACAAAAATTAGCTGGGCGTGGTGGCGCACGCCTGTAATCCCAGCTACTCAGAAGGTTGAGGCAGGAGAATCGCTTGTACCCAGGAGGTGGAGGTTGCAGTGAGCCGAGATCGGGCCATTGCACTCCAGCCTGGGCGACAGAACAAGACTTCATCGGAAAAAATAAAGGAAGTAGCCTGTCTAGGTGGGAGTGACAAGGACCAAGTGTCCCTGGGAGAGGAAACGGCCCTGGGAGCAGATCACTCAAGCCTGGGAGGTAGAGGCTGCAGTGAGCTGTGATCGCGCCACTGCACTCCAGCCTGGGTGACAGAGCAAGACCCAATCTCCAGGAAAAAAACAAAGAGAGAGAAAAAAATAAGGCCCAACAACCAAGGCCAAGCAGGCGGGAATACAGAAAGGCCAGCATTTGAATTCTGTGCTCCTACGCCTTTCAGAACAGTGTGCTGCAGACAGGAGGGCTGCCTGTAACCACTCAACGGGGCATCTCCTGCAACCTGCAATAGCAAAAACTCCGAGCTCACACCAGAAAGGTGCAGATGTGCACATTTAAATCCCGGGTCTATCACTTCTTGCGTGATCCTGAGCAAGTCACTTAATCTTTGGGTCCCAGATTCCTTGTTTGCAGAGCAGTTTTAATACCCAATACACAGAATGTACCTGGGGGTCCCGGGGTCTAGATCCCCTCTTCCAAGTAGTCAATTCCAACTTCGAGTCCAGTTTCCTACTTCAAAAGTCCTAAAGGCCAGTGGCTCATGCCTGTAAGCCCAGCACTCTGAGAGGCCGAGGTGGGAGGATCGTGTGATGCCAGGAGTTTGAGGCCAGCCTGAGCAACACAGTGAGACCCCATCACTACAAAAATTTAAAAATGAACTGCGTGCAGTGGTGCGCACATGCAGTCCCCACTACTCGGGAGGCTGATATGAGGACTGCTTGAGCCCAGGAGTTCGAGGCTGCAGTGAGCTATGATGGTGCCACTGTACTTCAGCCTGGGCAACAGAGTGAGATCCCATCTCTTAAAAACAGACAGACAAAAAAGCTGTAAGATTCAGTGCCACCACCTGCAGGTAGGTATCCAGCCTTTTAGGTACCCTGCCAGACACCCATTCCCTGACTCCACCCTGCTGCAGAGTGATGGCCTCTTTCCTTCTCTTCCACCAGGCTCTAGGGCTTGGAAGAGGCAGGGGCAAGGTATCTCTGTGCCCCCTGGACCCAGCCGCACCCCTACACAGTGTTTCCCAGTGCCATTCCCTTCCCACAGCTCCACCCCACGAGAAGGAAGAAGTGACCTAAGTCTGCTAAGGGGCGGAGGGAAAGGTTTGGGAAGGTTTCAGGGTGCTGTCATGAACTCTGGAGGATTGAATAGGAATTTACTAGGGGTGGGTAGAGGAGAATGTTCCAGGCAGATGAAAGAGAGGCAGACACAAAGGCGCAGAGGTGTGTAGGAACAATAAGGCGAATTGTGTATTTGCTGGAGGAGGGATAAAGATGAGGATTCAAGGCCAGGAGCAGTAATCCCAGCACTTTGGGAGGTCGAGGTGGGAGGACCCTTGAGCCCAGGAGTTGGAGGCTGCATGGAGCTACTGCACGGCGCCACTGTGCTCCAGCCTGTGCGACAGAGTAAGGCTCTGTCTCCAAAAACTGAAAAGATAAAAGATGATGATTCAGAATCTAGATCCCAAAGGGCCTTGAATGCCATGTCAGTGATTTGACGCTATAGAAAGTGACTGACAAAATTGTAAACGGGTGGCACAGGGACCCTCAGGGCATCCTGTGCTAGTCTAGGCTAAATTTAGGTTTTGGAGAGGGAGGTGACAGGGCTACGGGTCACCACCTGGGGGCAGGTATTGCAGGAGGAATCTAGGGGGTTCTACCTGGAAGGCTGATTATTGAAAAAAGCTTAACCCTTCTGTCCGCAGGCTGTCACCCATCAACACTTGCTAAAAAGCCATTGTCCACAACCATCCTAGCCATCCACACAGCTCCATGTCCACGAGTGGGCCAGGTGGTGCTATCTCTATTTTACAGACAAAGTGTGAGCCAGAGGAGAGGGGCTTCACCTCAGCCATGCAGGTGGGGAGAGGGCTCTGGTCATGACCCAAAGCCACTATCTGGTCTCAGAGTGCTTGTGGTGGCAGGTCCTCAGGCATTTGACAAATGTTCCAGCAGTTTTTGAGGTCAGACCATGGAGACACGGAGATGGCCTTTGGCCTCTGAGTCATCTTGAGACTGGACTAGTCAGCTGGGTCACCTGGGCCTGGGACAGGACAGGCTGCCTTCTGCGGGAGGGAGGAAGGGGGACCCACTGAGGGGCAGGTTTTCTTGTGTTCAGAGAGGCCAGCAGGGGGGCTTGCCCCCAGAGACATGCCTATCCATGGGACTCTGAGTTGGGGGCTGGAAGAAGACCAGTCCCTCCTCCAAGGAGAAGAAGCTGAGGGACCCTGTCCTTTGCTGCCTTTCTAAGAAGCCCCCAAATGCCCCCTCCCTTCCAGCACCCAGGCCCTGTGCACAGCCGCAGCCTGAGTCATCATCCCCATTTGAATGGTGGCCGAGAAATCAGCCAGGGGGCTGCCCAGGGCTGAGGGCCAAGGCTTGGAAAAACAAGGCTGTTCTGTTACCTCCAAGGCTTGGAACGTCAAGCCTGGCTAGGGAGTCGGGGGCAGAGGGCAGGCAGAAGCAGGACTGGAAGGTGTCAACAGCCAGAGGGGGCTTTGTGTGTCAGAGGGCTGGGGGCGCCGTTCAGAATCCGAGCTGTTGGCTTTTGTTTTCAAATGACCTGTTTAATCATTACCCTCTGCAATCAACTGCGAGCACAGGCTCCGTGGCAGAGGCTAGGCAAGGATTTCAAATCTCCAAACCCTACAGAGCAGCCGGAGAAGAAAGTAAACAAGATGCCACCGGCAGCTCTGGCTCCATCTCGCAAACAATAGCCGGACTGAACGCCCGGCTCAGACACACACATCAAAGTGAGATTTCCAAGCAAGAACTTTCACAGGCAGATAACAGGCTCGGATGGAATGATTTCCCTATGTCCCTTGAGCTCAGTGCCAAAGGGGGCAGCCCAAGGGGGCTGTCATTTTCCCGCTAACCTTGACCCGTCATGTATTCATTCATTTTGCACTGAGGGAGAGCCACCACCGCCCCAAACCGCGAAAAAGCAACCAGTATCAACTTTATCATTCCTTTCCTACAGTCACAATGGTGGGCAAATGAGACTTAAGTTACAGCAGCTCGCTGGCACTCACACACCCGTGGGCTCGGGCTCCTTAACAACAACGAAACCCTAATGTAAGCAACCACCGGGCTCACAAAGTCAAACCCTTACCTGGCATGGAGAAAATGCACGTATGTGTGTGTGAATGTCTGTGTGTTTCCCTCTTTTACCTTCCAAGGCCTTCAACTCTATTCTTCCCTTGCAGCATCCAAGCCCAGCCTCAAGGCAGATGCATAAACACCCCTGCTCCTCCCCTTCCATGGTTGGGCAAAACATCCCCCACCCCCTTTCCAGGACCCTGAGGAAAAAGAATCACGTCCTCTGCAGCCCCTCCCTGGCCCTGGCCCACCCCCCCTGCCCCTCCATTCCAGGCCGTCCGCGAGCAAGCCTCCTAGGCACCTTGAGATAAACACCCACTAATGATTTTATGATTTTCTGCTCCGGGTAACCGCGCTCAGCGGAATCCCTCCCCCCGCCGTGGCGACGGGGGCCGGCCCAACCGAGGGATGGGGGGATGGGGGCGTCAGTTTGTTTCTTCCACGGCCGCGTCCCCACACCTGTTTTTCATTCATTCATTCGTTCGTTCCTTCATCCATTCACGGATCCGCCACTGCGGCCGCCCCGGCCCCCCCCACCCCCGGATTTCGGAGAGGGGGCTGCAATGGGGGAGGGGGTGGGAGATGTTGGGAGGGGACGACGGAGGTGGGGGGTGGCGCACCGGGGGCTGGAGGGTTGCGGGGGGTCCCGGAGCCAGGACCCCGCGGCTCGGGCTTTGTCAGGCGCGGGCGAAGCGGCGGCGGGGGCGGGGCGGGGGCGCTCCCCGGGCCCGAAGTTGTTTTCCGAGGCGCCGCGGCGAGGACGGCGGCCCGGGGTGCGCCCCCTTTGTCTGTCCCCGGCCGGCGCCGCGTCCCCGCGCGCTCACCTGGTCTTGGAGGACAGGAAGGCAAGTTTGATGAGGCCGTAGGTGAACAGCGGGATACTCTCCTTGGCGACGCTGGCAACTTGCAGCCGGTGCTCCAGGATGTGGAGTTCCATCGTCCGCCCGCGCCCCGTCCGCGGCGGCTCATCCGCGGGGGGACGAGCCGCGGCCCCCGCCCCCTCCGCGCCCAGCCGGCACCGACAGCCGGCCCGGGGACCCGGGAGCTCGGCGCCGGGCGCGGGGGGCGGCGGCGGCCGGGCCGGGCCGGACAAAGGCGAGGAGGCCCGCCAAGTTGCGAGGGGGAGCCGCGGGGCGAGGGAGGCAGCGCCGGGGAGCAGCAGCCGAGCGGCCGAGCGGCGGAGCAGCGGCGCGCGGCGCCCGGCGCGGGGAGCAGCTGGTGTTCGCTGTAACAAACAACTTGCCACTCAAACGCCGGTCGCCGCTGTGCATGCGCGGCCCGCGCGCGGCCTGCCGGGACTTGTAGTCCGCGTGGGGGCCACCCCGGTGGTGGTGGTGGTGGTGCTGCTGCTGCTGCTGCTGCTGCTGCTGCTGCTGCGGCTGCTGTTGTTGCTGACGCGGGGGCTGGGCGGCCAAGCTACGCGCACGGGAAATGCAGGAGCGCGGGCACCCTCAGGGCCGCGGGGGAGGCCGAGGGGAGGCGCGGGGCCGGTGGAGCCAGTCTGAGCCTAGGTGCGCCCTCTGGCACTCACTCAGGCTCGGGACTAGGCGCTTGGAGTGCAAAGAGAGCAACCCAGACGACTCCGGTGCTGGAGGAGGCCCGGGGCTGGGTGCGCAGAGATGTAGGGCAATCGGTCATGAGCGTGCAGAGAAGCCAAACCGAAAAGCGTGCTGGGGACCCAGAGGGAGGGGACTGACAGGCCAAAGGGGGTGACCTGGGGGAGGGGACATCCAGGGTGGGTTTTGCAGGGTGAATGGGAGTTCGTAGGAAGGGGATGAGGGCGCGCCGATGGAGGACCGGAGCCTTCCAGGCTGCAGGAACAGCGTGTCCTAAGGCACAGAAGCGTGAAAGCCCCCACGGTGCTGTGTTTGGTTTTGTTGCAGCGGAAAATGTGAGGGAGGAGAGAAAAGAGATAAGGCAGGCACAGTCACCAGGAGTCCGGTCGGGAGGGTCATGTGTGCAGAGCTAACGAGGTGGCCATTTATCCCGCGAGAGAGGGGGTGATGGGAACTGCGAAGGCTGAGTGAGGGGAAAATGCAAAGTGCATCGGAGGCACTTCCAACCCCAGGGCCCACGTGCTCGGACCACAGAGGTTCCTCCGTCATGGCTGTCTGGTTTTGCGGTGTTCTGGGTTAAAGTAACTGGTGCATCGACCTTTGGCACAGTCATACGGGGACGTGATGGATGAGATCTACCAGCCAGGGCAGGCTGAGAACTCTCTCTTAGGGGAAAATTGCAGTTGTGCTCCCTCTCCTTCCCTCAGCCCTCATCTGTTAGGTAGGAACATCCTAGGTTTTGTCATTTCCACAAAAGGGTGGAAAGCCCGGAATCTGTGGTACATAGATCTTAGAGCATGCATATCCCCCTTCCACTTCATTTTCTTTTACTTCTTTCTTTTATTTAATTTTTAAGAGACACGGTCTTGCTCTGTTGCCCAGGATGGAGTACAGGGGCTCCATGATAGGTCTCTACAGGCTTGAACTGCTGGGCTTAAGCGATCCTCGCACCTCAGCTTCTGGAGTAGCTGGGACTGCAGTTGCACACCACCATACCCGGCTAATTTTTTTTTTTTTCAGACAGAGTTTTGCTCTGTCATCCAGGCTGCAGTGCAATGGCGTGATCTTGGCTCACTGCAACCTCCCCATCCTGGGTTCAAGGATCCTCATGCCTTGGCCTCCCTAGTAGCTGGGATTACAGGCGCCCTCCACCATGCCTGGCTAAATTTTGTATTTTTAGTAGAGAACGCCGTATTGTCCAGGCTGATCTTGAACTCCTGACTTGAGGTGATCCACCCACCTTGGCCTCTCAAAATGCTAGGATTACAGGCTTGAGCCACCGTGCCTAGCCTTTTTTTTTTTTTTTTAACTTTCTGTAGAGAGGGGCATCTCACTATGTTGCTCAGGCTGGTCTTGAACTCCTGGCCTCATGCGATCCTCCAGTCTCAGCACTTTAAAAAAAAAAAAAAGCTTATCTATCTCTCCCCTATATGGCCTCAACTCCACACAGGCAGTGATTTTTGTCTCTTCCCATTGTCAGCAATACTGACTAGCCTATGAGCGACATTCATTCAGTATTTGTGGAATGCATCAGTGCACCTATCTATGCCTTTAGAATCTAGAGATCTAGAAAGTCCAAACAGAAATGCATTCAAGGGCCAGACAGGTTACACAGAATTGTGAAGCAGTTGGCTATCAGATAGTTGGAAATGTGTCTGGGTGTTGTGGTTCACACCTGTAATCCCAACACTTTGGGAGGCCAAGGCAGGTAGATCATTTAAGGTCAGGAGTTTGGACCAGCCTGACCAACATGGTGAAACCTCCTCTCTACTAAAAACAAAAAAGTTATCTGGGCATGGTGTCACACTCTGCTGAGGCAGTAGAATCTCTTGAACCAGTTGGGTGGAGGTTGCAGTGAGCTGAGATCACGCCACTGCACTCCAGCCTGGGCAACAGAGTGAGACTCCATCTCAAAAAAAGAAAAAAAAGTTGGAAATGGTACAGGTAAAGGGAGTCCTGTCTGATGGTATAAAATTCAGTTTCTTTAAAAAAAACAACCGGCCAGGTGCAGTGGCTCATGCCTGTAATCCTAGCACTTTGGGAGGCCGAAGCAGGTAGATTACCTGAGGCCAGAAGTGGCGGATGCCTGTAATCCCAGCTACTTGGGAGGCGGAGGCAGGAGAATTGCTTGAACCCGGGAGGTGGAGGTTGCAGTGAGCCAAGATCAGGCCACTGCACTCCAGGCTGGGCAACAGAGCAAGACTCCACCTCAAAAAAAAAAAAAAAAAAAAAGCAGGTGAAACAAAACAAGGCTAAAGGCAAGACTTGGCTAGTTTTCTGACTTCTGCTCTGGATGGCCTCAGGTAGCATCAATCTGCAGACTATTTGTGATCCATGTAATAGATGGTGAAATCAACTTAGCAGAGCATGATAATATTTTAAAACAACAACAACAACAACAACAAAAAATTGAACAGGCTGGGTATGGTGGCTTATGCCTGTAACCCCAGCCCTTTGGGAGGCCAAGACAGGAGGATCTCTTGAGGCTGGGAGTTTGAGACCAGCCTGGACAACATAGCAAGAACTCTCATCTCTACAAAAATAAAAATGTAAGAAATTAGCCAGGTGTGGTGGCGTGCACCTATAGTCCTAGTTACTCAGGAGGCTGAGGTGGGAGGATCCCTTGGGCCCAGCAGTTCAGAGCTGCAGTGAACTGTTATTGCCCCACTGGACTCTAGCCTGGGTAACAGAGTGAGACCGTTTCTTCAACAAAATGAAAAAAACCCCCCGAAAAAACAAAAAAAATTGAAATAAACTAGAAAATGGCAGTGCTGTATATAGAATGGGTAGCTTACTATTATATTTTCTTTTTCTTTCTTTTTTTTCTTTTTTTGAGACAGAGACTAGATCTCTCTTGAGGCTGGAGTGCAGTGGTGCGATCTCAGCTCACTGCAACAACCTCCGCCTCCCAGGTTCAAGCGATTCTCCTGCCTCAGCCTCCTGAGTAACGGGGACTACAGGTGCCTGCCACCACGCCCAGCTAATTTTTGTATTTTTAGTAGAGACAGAGTTTCACCATGTTGGCCAGGCTGGTCTCAATCTCTTGACCTCATGATCTACCCACCTCAGCCTCCCACAGTGCTGGGATTACAGGCGTGAGCCACCACACCTGGCCATCATCTTTTCTATACTATAGGGCACTTTAATTTTGTCCATGTGTGTACAGGGGTGTATGCATGTGTGTGCCTGCATATGTGCACTACAGCTTGATATAAAGGTATGTTTTACTGTGGGTCTTGGTAAAAAACAATTTTTTTTTCTTTTTGAGACAGTCTTGCTCTGTCACCCGGGCTGGAGTGCAGAGGCGTAATCTCTGCTTGCTGCAACTTCCACCTCCTGGGTTCAAGCAATTCTCTTGCCTCAGCCCCCCGAGTAGTTGGGATTACAGGTGCACACCACCACACCTGGCTAACTTTTGTATTTTTAAGAGACGGGGTTTCACTATGTTGGCAAGGCTCTTGTCTCAAACTCCTGGCCTCAGGTGATTAGCCCACCTCGGTCTCCCAAAGTGCTGGGATTACAGGCATGAGCCACTGCACCTGGCCAAAACTGTTAAAAAGCACTGTGGGCTTTATATTTCATCAAGCCAGACCATCACAAAGTTTGCAAATTTATACCTTCTTGTTTTGACTTGCAGAACACCTTTACTCAGCTGTATCTGGTGCTTAAGATTTCTGTGAAACTAACTTCTGAAGTTCCTTTTGGGGGATTAAGGAAATTGACCTCTGGGTTGCCAAGTCCCGAGGATGATTTCAGGCTGGGATTAGGGTGAAGCAAGTGAGGCACTTTGGGCCCTGAATTTAAGGAAGTATTGGCTTCCAAGGTGACACAAGCGTTGGATGGGCGCCATCCTGGTGGAATTCCTTCCTTTTTGAGTTCCTTGTCATTGCATTTTTCTGGTGTTTCTCTCATTGACTCTAGGTCTGGCTATGTGATTTTCATGGCTTTGGCCAATGGGGTATTTGCAAATGTTTCTTCAGTCCTGCGCTTTGGGACTTGCCCTCTTGGAATGAATGCTGCTTTGAAACCATCCTGCTATAAAGAAGCTTGGAAGAAAGATCACATAAGGAGGTCCAGGTGTTCCAGCTGTGCCAGGCCTCTGCCAACAGCTAGCACCAAATACTAGACCATGCCAAGATGTGAACGAGGCCATCTTAGACTTTCCATCTGACTGTCTAAATGAATGCAGCCACGCAAATGAGCCCCAGGTGAAACCAGAACTATCCAGCCAATCAACAGAAACATGACAGATGAAAAATAGTTGTTCGCTGGGCACAGTGGCTCATACCTGTAATCCCAGCACTTTGGGAGGCTGAGGCGGGTGGATCACTTGAGATCAGGAGTTCAAGACCAGGCTGGGCAACATGGCGGAACGCTGCCTCTACAAAAAAAATATACAAAAATTAGCTGGGCATGGTGATGCATGCCTGTAGTTGCTGTTCTTTCTGTGCTTTTCTGTTTCTGTGATGCACGCCTCAGCTAATTGGGAGGCTGAGGTGGGAGGATCACTTGAGCCCAGGAAGTTGAGGCTGCAGTGAGCCATGTTTGCATCATTGCACTCCAGCCTGCGTGACAGAGTGAGAACCTGTCTCTGAAAAAAAAAAAAAAAAAAAAGTTGCTTTTAGCCACTAAGACTTGGAATGGTTTATTGGGATAAACCAATGAACCAGTGGATAGCTGATACATCACCTCTGCCCTCATCTTCTCCCAGTATGTGGGTGTACCTGGTCTCTGGCTT